AAACATTTTATTATTCTAGGATAAATAGTATAGGAAATGCAAGAATATATAAACAGGCTAAGTAGATGTTTTTAAAGGCATTTTAATGAAATTTACTTTCAAATGATGGTAGTTGAATTAAAATTGTATTAAAAACCTTTAAAATATCATTTTCCTTGGAAGCAAAGGCTAAATGAGTCATCCATAGAAGATAGAGGAGGACATGTGAACTATTTTAATATACATGTCCTCACGATTTCCTGAAGATGTTAAATATTTATAACTATGAGTTTAAAAGATACAGGAGCAGGACTAAATGCTCTGGGTCTCAGTGATCATAACCTGGGCTACTTTCCATCATTCTTGTAGCAACAGAACCAAAGGAAGAGATGAAGGGTACTGTGGTCTTTTCTAAGCAAGTATCACACTATAAATCTAATCTGTACAAGTGCCTTTATGGGAGACTGCAGTAATTTACTTTGATTCATCTATAAAAGTAAGAAACTTTCCAGTTGCTATTATGTCATTGAGAACTCCACAGAACTGAGTAGAAATATCAACCAGTGGTGGTGGTTTTCTTTCCTCTGTGATGATTAGATCCAGCTTGGCCAAGGGTACAATTTTTGGTTTTCTAACGTACACTATGTGAACAGTGAATGGCTGTACTGGGAACTCACCATAGCTGTAGTTTTTGCTCAGATATGTTGCCAAAGTTGGCTTCACCTTCTTACATTTGCACCGATCTAAAAGAGGGTGGGAAAAGAGATTTTTTTAAAAAGCTGGCAATGGATCCAGACGTCTTTGCAGAGAATAAAAGGGAGTCTGAGGAAAGAACTGACCGGGGCTCATACGTTTGCAGTCAGCGTCAAGCGGCTTCTCCTGTACCATCATGTCTGGTGTGATGTCCGTCCACTTCACATCTGCAACACAAACAGGGCCGGCCACACCTCTGTGGTCAGTGACTGATTCTCCTCAAAATAAGGATACAAATGAGCCAATCCACACACCCTGATAGTCGTAAATAGTAATGCTAGCAGGTGAGAAAGGCAGTCTTTTATACCAGCTCTGCTATCCACGCAAACACTGACACAATGCACATCTGTTTAACCAACTGGATAAATCACATTACTCTCTCCCAAAACTGTATCGCAATGTTGATTTTTCCCAGGCTCCAGTGGCTCACACCTATAATCCTAGTTACTCTGGAGGTTTGAGATCTGAGGATCATAGTTTGAAACCAGCCAGGGTAGGAAAGTCCATGAGACTCTTGTCTCCAATTAACCAGCAAAAAAAAAAAAAAAACACAAGTGAAGCTGTGCTCAAGTGGTTGAGCACCACCCTTGAGCATAAAAGCTAAGAGATAGAGGCCTGGCCTTAAGTTCAAGCCCCAGTACCTGCACAAGCACACATACAAAAGAAATGTTGATTTTTTTTTCAAGTTAGCACCATTAAAAAACAAACACAGAATATTTCCAAGGACTGGAAGGTGGCTCAGTGGTAGAATGCTTGTCTTGTGTGCATGAGGCCCTGGTTCAATTCCTTAACACCACATAAGCAGAAAAAGCCAGAGGTGGTGCTATGGCTCAAGTGGTAGAGTGCTAGCCTTGAGCTGATGAGCTGAGGGACAGTACCCAGGCCATGAGTTCAGGCCCACAACTAAAAAAAAAAAAAAAAAAAGGGAAGAAGAACATTTCCAAATCCCCACCTCATGTTTTACAGAGTAGGAAAGTTCACAGCTGCGTAACACTACACCATTTATAAGATTTAAGCCATAAGCTTGGCACTGGTGGCTCACACCTGTAATCCTAGCTACTCAGGAAACTGAGGTCTGATAACTGCAGTTAAAAACCATCCTGGGCAGGAAAGTCCATGAGACCCTAATCTCCAATTAATCACCAAAAAAGCTGCAAGTGGAGTTATGGCTCCAGTGGTAGAGTGCTAACCTTGAAGAAGAAAAAAAAGCTCAACAACAGCACCCAAGCCCTGAGTTCAAGCCCCAGGAAATGCACACAGAAGACACATTGAAGCTGCAAATGTATTTTGTAAACACTGACTTACTTAGAGATGAGTTTGTATTTGCCTCCACTTGACAGGTTATCTTTCCTGTTTGGGCAATGCTCAGTGACCTAACTACAGAAACCACACTAAGAGAACACAGCCCTGAGCTCTTAGGAAGGCGGAAGCTGCCCTGGGGGATGCCTATAGAGAAGAAAGAGAAACTTTCCCTAGGTTCCTTTCAAGAAGTAACTGTAGGTCTGCTCCTTGCAACAAAAAACAGTAAAAGGACTCAAGAAAGGAAGGAAGTGGATCAGTGGTCAGATCAACAGATGCCACAGTCACTGGCTCCTAGTCAGAGACCATGAAACAGATGCCACCGTTTTCCAGGTCAGCTCTCCTTACAAACCACACTCACGCTGGCCAGAGATGACCACTGCCGCTTTGAACTTTCCAGAAGCCTTATTAAATGACAGAACTTTCGAGAAATGGGATTAAAAGACAGAGCATTAGCCTGCAGCTGGTGGGATGGGCTTAGGCATTCGATGAGTTCACACAGGCACTGGGCTTTGCACAAACCCAGTAAAACTTAGTCGCTGCCATCATCATGAAAAGCCTCATTGCCAATTGCCTCCTTGTAAGCAAAATCTGTCTGCACTCCCTCCAGTCCTGGAGTCTCCCCACCCTACACCCCCCGGCCGATCCGTGGTGAAATCTCTGGGAGTAAGCCATCTCTCATTTCAAGTCTCATAGAAGTGCGATGCGGGGCACCCGCGGGCGCCCATAGGTGTGGCCCCCTGGTTTTCAGCGGCTGCACCTCGCTCCATCCTGCCTTACCCTCAGGAAGGTCGGTGACGATGGCCTCGGGGGAGATGCACACGCCCCGGTCATAGAGGGGCAGCTCGTCGCAGGCCAGGCTCTCGGGCCAGCTGTGGTTGTACCTCTTCATGAGCGGCTCACAGCCGTCGCGGGCGCGCTGGCACACAGACTTGCAGGGCTTGATGGGGTCGTGCAGGAACTCCAGGGCGCAGATGGGCGCGTACATGGCGCACAGGAAGAAGCGCAGCACGGCGCTGCAGTTCGCGTCCACCAGCTCCTCGTACTGCTCGATGGCCAGCACGGCGTTCTCCTGGGTACTGTGGTGCAGGTGGTTCGGCATCCGCGTGAGGTTCCAGGGCATGTGGCGGCACATGGGGATGCGCACGGCCTCGCAGGGCGCGCTGCGCACGTCCCGCGCCAGGCGCAGCCACAGGCACAGCGCCAGCAGCCTGGGAGCCCGCATGGCCCGGCCCGGCGCAGACGCGCTTCCCACCGGCCCGGAGGACCCGTCTCCCCGCGCCTCCTGGATCGGTCCCGGTCCTTTCTCCAAGGAGCAAGTTTGGGGAGGCGCAGGGGACTTCCTCCTCCTAGATTCCAGTCTGCGGGGCTCTGCCCGCCGATCGCCCGCACCGGGACCTCACCGCTCCGGGAGCAGCCGGCCTCGGCCATTGCGGGACCCTATTTATCTCGACCCGTCCCAGGCCCTCGGTGCGGGGCGGTGACTTCGTCTCCGCCCCAAATGGCTGCAATCCTGGTCCCCTCAAAGTCCCTCCTTTTCAGTCTGACTAGTCCTTCTACGGAGCAAGAAAGGGAGCGTCTGGAGCCAACCCTTTTGGACACCAGATACGGGGATTGCCAGAGAGGGCGAGAGAAAGAGAGACACGCTTCGCTCTTTGTGCCGCGCCGTCCCCCCGCCCCAGGTTCGGAGTTGGGGGACCAGAAGGAGAGCTGTAATACCGCGCTTTTCCACGAGGGGGCGGGAGGCGCGCCGAGTCGTGAGACGGCGGGGCGGACCCGGGAAAGCTGTGGTCAGGGAAGGTACCCCCCTACGTGGCTTGGCGTTTGTTGGCATTTGTTGTTGTTGTAGCTAGTGGACATTAGTTCTGGTTCAAGTTTGTTTTCTTTCCTTCCCCCCCCCCTCCCCGCCAACTGGCTCTTGGTATGTTCCTGTGCCAGTAATTTAGAATTACAGGTTCAGGAAGTGGCACCGGGGCTCAGCGTGGTAGAGACGCATCCTTGAGCAAAAGAGCCCAGGGACAGCACCTAGGTCCCGAGTTCAAGCCCCACGACCGACAAAAAAAGAAAAGAGAGGAAATGTTCTCTTCCACCACCTCTTGTGTTCTAACTACCAGCTCCTTTCTGCAACACGAGAACAGACAGACAATTTGGGACATTACAGTGTGAAAGATTTACCCATTCTCAAGTCATTTCCATTTCAACAACTTAAAATCTTGGTCTTGGATATACTCCTGGACAGGTGCTTGAACTGATCACGAAGCACTGTGCTGTGGAGATCAAGTATGCACCTTTTGTTTTTTCTCATCTACAGAAAAGGGAAGCCTTATGGTTGCAAATTCGCATCAGACTTCAGACAGCAAGGCTTCTACTGCATATTTATATAATGCATCAAAATAGGGCAATGTTCTCTGAATGGTATGCTTTAAAAACCTAGTTCAAGCCAGGTGCTCACACCTGTAATCTTAACTACTCAGGAGGCTGAGATCTGAGGATTGAGGTTCAGAACCAACCAGGGTTAAGACTGGCCATGAGATTCTGATCTTCAGGTATCTACCAAAAGGCTGGAAGAGGAGGTGTGGGTCAAGTGGTAGTGCACCCAGGCCCTGAGGTCAAGCTTCAGTACTGATGTGCGTGCATGCATGGGTGTGCACGTGCATGCACACACACACACCAGTTCAGGGAAGGAATGAGAATGTTGAAAGGGATGACATTGATCAAGATATATTGTATTCATAAACTTTTGTTAAGTGATAACCCTTTGTACAACTATTTAAAGATAATTTTTTTTACAGAGAAAAAAACATATTTCAACTGGAAACTTGAATTTAAGGCATTTTTTGTCTCTCTCCACCTTAGACAAAGTTAGCTTAGTTTTGAATCTTAGCAAAACCCATTATTAAACTAGCTAACATTAAAATAAAATCAAGAAGTCCAAATGGAGTGTATTGAGCCTCTATAATGGACAAGTCATGGAGCTAATTACTCAAAAGGCTTTACTTTTTAGGGAATACAAATTAAACATGGTAAATTAGGGTGGTAAACGAAACAATTATATTTCAGGACTGAAGGAGTTTGGTGTTATTTGGAGGTACCCAGATGTTGAATCTAGAGAGCTATTCTGCTTTCCTATAGAACAAATCTCAAGCTCCAAAGATACCAGGCCAGGGTATGGCCCAGGTGATATCTGCAGACTCTCCCATTGGTGAACCGGATCTAAAGCCCTCATTGAATGACATCAAGTGCCATTCAAGCCCCTACCTATGGAACAGAGAAAGAGCAGGTGCACATGCTCTTGAGGGAGGCAAATGTGGACAGGGCCCAAATTTCTGCAGCCAATCTAAACCTACTGCATTTGGTTTTGGTTTTGTTTTGTTTTACAAGTACCACATCCATCACTAAGTTTCATGAAATGCCCTGAATCATTTCTGATTGCAAGACCTTTAAGCAAGGATGAGAGTACTTAAAATAGTCTTGCCCAGGTCATGGAGATACCTCAGTGGCAGAGCACTCACCTAGCCCGATGAGGCCCTACGTTCACCCCCAACATCATAGAAAAAGGAAATGAACCAATCATGTGGGGTTTTTTTTTGTTTTGTTTTGGGGCTTGAACTCAGGGCCTGGGCACTGTCCCTGAGCCTCTTGTGCTCAAGGCTAGCATTCTACCATTTGAGTCACAGTGCCACTTCTAGCCTTTTCTGATTATGTGATACAGAGGAATTGAACTCAGGGCTTCATACATGCTAGGCAGGCACTCAACTACTAAGCCACACTCCCAATTTTTTAGATTTTTAAAATTTTATTGTAAAGGTGATGTTCAGAGGGGTTACAGTTACATAAGGCAGGTAATGAGTATATTTCCTTTTGAACAGTGTCATCTCCCTCATTCTCTCCCAGTTTTTCCCCTTCTGACTCTGCCCTCCCCCCAAGTTGTATAGTTCATTTCCAACATAGTAGATTTCTCTTTTCCCTTTGTTCTTTACACCATCCCCTCCCCAAATCAAAGAAAAAAAGAAGAAACACAAACAGTACAATCAAAAACTTCTTGCTCCCATTTCTTGAAGTTCACTTCAATAAGCATCATTTTATATGATCATATGCTCATAGTTATTGAGCCCTTTCGATCCTCTCCTAAGCATATCCTCCTTAGTTCTCTGTGTTCACTGTGTGAATGTTTAGACTGCTGCTTAATTATTAGGCTCAGGTGTAATTATTTGTTACTCACTATCCACTGGATTTACTTGTAGATTTATAGACACATTCTAATTATTATTGTAATTATTCTGGCTTTTCGGTGGTTAACTGGAGTTAGGAATCTTAAGGCCTTTCCTGCTGGCAGGGATGGTTTTAAATCTTGGTCTTCAAATCTCAGCCTTTTGAGTAGCTAGGATTACAGGCATGAGCCACCAGTGACAGCAGTCTCAGCACTTTTGATTTTTAGGGCTGGAGCATTCCTAGCCACGAGTTCCCTGGTTGGGGGGGGGGGGGGAGGAGAAGGGAAGCAAAATTGGCCCCTGTGTTCTACCACCAATGGGCCTATGGCTTTAAAATTCAAACCCCAGTCTGATGGTTGCCCGAAGTTTTAGCTCAGCTTCTCCTGGGTGAATAGCCCCCAAGCAACTCAAGGTCAGCCAAGGTGGGACTGACTCAAAGCAGAGGCCTCTGAATTGGGGTCTTCCTCTGTGATTCCAGACCCCATCGCACTGTCTCCACCCGAACCCCAAGCATCTTGGCTCAGCTTGGTCTCCCCAACTTCCTTCGGTCCCAGGCAGGCTGGGGAAGGCGAGGGGGGGCTGGCTCACTGCTCAGTAACCTTGAGCCCCAGCGACCTTGAGCCCTTGCTCCAGTGCTGGCAAAAGGGCCATAATGAAGCCGCAGTCATCGCTTCACCCAGGGGCCCATCTTTCCACCTTCTATTGGTACACCCAAGTCGCGGTGTGCCAAGAGCCCCTATTCCTCACGTGGACCCCGAAGAAGTCGCTGCGGGTCACCGGTGAGTGCCTTGTCCGGCAGAGCTCCCCGGCCCGCCCCGCCCTCCCCGCGCGGCCCTCCGGCTGTGAGCGGCCCCGCGGCCACAGCGCTCCCAGCTGGCAGCCGCGA